CTCAGTGGAGACATGGGTAGTCCTTTTGATTTGAGTGCTAACAGCTACCTCCTGAACTACCACTAAAGAACAAAAGGGTCATTTTTATATCAGAGGGAGGCACTAAAAGAACTGCTATGATTCAGATCAAGAATGTCCCCCAAAGGCCTCACCTGAAGTGACTGAAAGGTGACAAAAACATGGGACAAGACAGCTGGCTCGCTGCTGGGAGGTGGGGTCTGGAAGAGGCGGGTTCCTGCAGATGTGACAGGAAAGGGTGCATCCCCCTCCTCGGGGCTACCTTCTCTTTCTGCCTCCTGGCCACCACGCTGTGAGCAGCCTTCCTCCACCCAGCCCCTTCCACCATGTCCTTCCTGCCCCAGAGCTGGCCAACTGTGAGGTGAAAATGTGAACCACAATACCCCCTCCTTCAAGTTGCAGAGGTCAGATGTTGCATCCAGCAATGAGAAAATGAGTCAGACAACAGCTAAGGGTGTGGAGGCACCAGGACTGAAATGTGTCCAAGACACTTTTAGCTTTCCATGCATTTCTGCGTAGAATGTGCAGCTGATTCTCCTAACAACCTGCGATGCAGGCAAGGGAGGTAAAGTGATCCCATGGTACAGATGATACAAAAAGGCCCACTGAGGCTAAATCACCAGCTGAGTCACCAGCTACGGCCTGAGACAGGAGCACAAGGGCACTAAGTGACAGGCCCCTCTGCAACTAGAGGCTGAATTTGAATTAGTTGGGCACTATGAGCATTACTTCCTAGCCATCAGTGAGTCAGGAAACATAGGTATTTTCTGAAACACTTAAGCAGATGATCCAAATCCTGTACTGGTCTCCTTTCTTTAAGAAAAATGAAACTTCAGAAATAGAGGCAAAGTCAAGGATTCATTCACGGGACAGCCTCGGTGGTCAGCACAGAGTGGAAATTTCCACACACCGGGGTTTTGCTGTATAGTTCCAGAGCTGAAGGATGTCTAGCATCCAAAATGTTCAAGCAGATTAAAATGCATAGCTCTCTGAAAACCTTTGCTGACTCTTGCCAACTTTCAGGCTTCTCCAGAATCCAGTGGGGCCAACATGATTCACTGAATTCTTTATGAATTAAGAAGCTGTAAATTACGCATCTTTTCTTTGAAACATGCATTACTTTCCACACTTTACAGCCAAGCCGAATGAAAAGTATCCCAGAGCCAGTTCTGTCTCTGGGAAAATATTCTTCCTTCTCTGCCTGGTCCTCCATGCAGGGTGGCCTGGTGAGGTGGCAGTGATGGTGGGGAAGCCACCCCACTTGCTGTTTTTGTTGTTGCTTGTTTTTTGAGTTTCAAAGTGCAAAGTGATGTCTGTGTACAATATTTCATTGTGAAAGCTTTAAGGCTAGGTTTTAGGCGGACAGCAAGTACAAGTCACACGTGTGCAACCAGCCAAGGGAAAGGAGCAGCAGAAGAAATCCATTTCTGGGGAAGGGTGGAGACTGGAAAGTGGGGGCCTGGGAAGAACGGGGCGCTCACCCTGCCTGGAAATCACAGCAATGGCTCATTCCTCTCGGTCACTCATTCTTTCTTGGGTGACATCCTGTGTGCTAGGTACTTACTCCCCTGAAAAAAACCAGCCAACACTCCAGCTGGAGGACATGCACATGTGCAGGGCTGTGTCCAAGTGGCTCTGGGCTCAGGTGGCTCAGGTGAGAAAAATCAGAGTCAGCCACCTCGACTGCGGGACTTAAGTTCTGACTGTAGACAGAGAAACGAGCCTGTGGTCATGGCCTTGCTTCAGGGCAGCTGCTGTCTAGTGACTGTATTCATGGCTGCATTCATTTATTTAAAATTATTCTCTGGAAATATCAGAAAGAATAGCTTGGAAAGTAATAGAAAGTTTGAGAAAACTTACCTACTTCCAGAAAATGCAAAGAACAGCTATAAGATGTTTGAGCATTGAGAAAGACTGCTTTACCAAGGATAGCTTTATAGCTTTATGAAGATGGCTCTTGGTCGCGTCTTCTACACCCTTTACCATTCAAGAAGTGAGACGGAAGGTCCACTGGTCTCAACCCCTGCAGGCCTGGACCCTCCCAGACTCAGGACCCTTCCTGCCTTTGTGAGACAGGAGTGTCCTCCTCCTCTTCAAGGCCTAGATGTCTTCACCCTTTCTGTGTCCTTTTAAATCCCTGGCCGTAGAGACGCTGACCTCCCGTCCACGGCAGTTGTGCACTAAGCAGCACTTCAAGGCTTGCAGCCAGGAGCAGACTGCTGACTTCTGGCAACAGGGTAAAGTACAAGGCTCCTGAGCACCCAGATCTGGAATCCTATGGGAATCAGCTGACTTAGGCCAGCACCGTGTGTGTGTGTGTGTGTGTGTGTGTGTGTGTCTCCCTGGAGGGAACCCTGACGCTCAGTCCCTAGAGGGTACACTGTACAACCAGAGCTAATACTCCTCTCAGCCTCACTGCTGGCCAGGCCTGGCTCCTGGGAAACAGCTGGAGCTGGAGCTCGATCACACACTGGGGCTGCAGCAAGGCCACACCTAGAACCCTAAACACCGGAGGTGCGCCGCACGAACAAGCTGCTCTAGCTCAGAGAATGTGAAGGTTACCACACAAACAGGTTCCTAGGCAGAGGGGGTCACGTGACACCGACCTGCCAAACATGTAAGTAAATGTGTGGTGGCTGAGCATTCCCTTTCCTCCCACCTAATGAGAGGCTTCCACCTGACCTCAGCTTTCTGTGTTCGGACCCTTTTCTTTATTTCTCCATCCTCTTGTCTCTGTTCTCCCATTGTCCTTCCCCATCCCCGGAACTTCGAGAACTAAGCTGGACCTGGTACTTGCTACAGGACAGTGTCTCCTCCCAGCTGCCCCAGCTCCACAGAGACATAAACAACACTCTTTTCTGAGTTACAGAAGTGACCACCCAGGCTTGCCAAAATGTCGACGGGCTCTGTCAGAGGCAATTTTATTTCATAGGATCAAGGAGATGGAATAAAACGTTTCAGTTATTTTCTAAAAAAAGCCATTAGGCCATATTCCAAATAAACAAACTATCCTTTGAACAAGAAAACAGCCTTCTAAGTGGGTCAGGCCAGAGCCAGATCACGAAGGAGTCAGGCCCACTTGGGCCCTGCTCACCGCTTAACCCTATCCGCCTCAATTTTCTACTTGGCGGCTTCCACAGGCGTCCCTATGGGCCTCTGCCGAGCAAGGGTCTGATTAGCCGACCTGACACCAACCCTTCCAGCCCACGGGGCTCGCACCTGGAAAAGCAGCCTCTTCAAGTCACTAAGTGGAGAATTCCCGGCATGGTGAGTTTGCTTAGATCACTCAGTCAAGTCACATGACCAGGATAGTTACTAGTGCCTCAGAAACATCAGGCTCATAGCCACTACCCACCTGCCACACTTAGAAAACTGATCTGAAGCATGTTTCATACATGTTCTATACCCATGGCCTGACGGTCTTTTTTGTACACTATTTTTGGCGAGTCTCCATTTTGACTGCCAGCTGATGCATGAGGGCTTGGGTGTGGTATTCCATCCATGCTCAGAAGCTTCAGAATTAGGGGCATTTTAGACATTCAGATCATGAACACTTAACCTGCACCGACCCAGGAGTGAGAAGCTTTGGCTGTGGTCTACAGGCTGGCAAACAGCAATGGATAAGGCGATTTCCAAAAATGCTCTTAGATCTCAAAAACATATTTTAAAAAATTTTAAACTTATTTACGTACGTAGGTATATATGTATTTATTTATTTAATACAGGGTCTTGCTACACGGTTCAGACTCATACTGATCCTCCTCTCTCAGCCTCCCCAGTGCTGGGATTACAGGCATGTGTGCCACCGCACCCAGTTTCTGGGTAGGTACATGGGGCCTGGGGTTCTGGGGCCTGCATAGCATAAGGTACTAGGGCTCGAACCCTGGACCTTGAACTTGCCAGGCAGGTGCTTAGACTGCCGAGCTAACTCCCCAGCCCAAACACAAACTTTTATTATGTTTTTCGGGTTTTTTTTTTGTTTGTTTGTTTGTTTGTTTGTTTTTGAGACAGGGTCTTGCTATGTAGCCCCAGCTGGCTTGAACTTCTGGTGATCGTCCTGCCTCAGCCTCCCAAGTGCTGGGATCATAGGTGTGTGCCACCACACCTGGCTATTACATTTTTAAGAATTAAGAATTAAAAACAGGCATGCAGCTGAACTGGGACCAGCACTGCTTCTCTGGCCACAACGCTGAGTCTGCGCAGGTGCTGTTTCCTTCCCCCAGCAAGTCACATTTGCTCCAATCCTTAACACTGTTTTTCATCTTGCTCGTGCTTGTCAGCCCAGGATGGACTGGGCGAGCCCAAAAGCCTCTCCCAGACACAGGGACCAGGACTTCCACCTTTAAGCACAGAATTCTTAGCTACTCTGTAAGCTTTTGTCAACACAAGTGACAAAGAGATGAGAAATGCTCTTATTGTAGTTCTGGGAGTTCTGGGAGACCGACATATAACTTGCCCTGTGTAATGTGTTAGCAATTTCTGTGCCTTTGCTAACAATTACCGGGGTCAACAAGCCTCCTCTATGGAAGTGAGAGTCCTAAAACAAGGTTCAGAAGGCCAACAATTATCACTGTGATAGCCTGTGCTATTGTGGACTCAGAAACAGTCAGTCATGGGGAGGCCCCAGCTGAGAAAGACTGCAAGTCCTGGGGCCTCTTGGAGCGCCCTTCTGGAGCTCAGGGGTAGTGAACAGGGTGAGTGACAAGAAAAATTTTCCAGCCATCTGAGAAAGAACACAAACACATCTGTTCTTAGCCAGGACAGCACAGGTCAGAACTGAGAAATGACATTTCTTCTCTGGCATCTAAAACTTAGCAGTAAAGACAAGCTGAGCCAGGTGAGTGAGCAAACCACTTGAAGAAGTTTCTTAAGATCTGAGCATCTGGAACAGGTTTTCACCTGTAAAAGTTTCCATCAAAGGTGAGCTTTTCCCAGCCATCCTGGAGCAGCCCGAGACCATTTCTCACGCAAGTGGGACTTACCAGGTAGCGCTCCTCTTGCCTCATGCTAGGGGTCCGGATCATGTGGTTCTGTTCTCCTCTCCAGTCTCCAAAGCGACGGAAAAAGTAGTTAGATAAGAACCTGCTGACGGGATCTCTGATGATGTTGATGTAGACGGGCTGGTCTCCTCCAAACCTAACACACATGCAATGAACAGGAGCTCATTACAACCCATCACTCTGAGAGGAAAATACGGCCTACCTGAACAAGGCCTGCCCTGTAGGTTAACTCAGAATAAGCCATCTGCTAAGGTGCCCATGAGCACATGTGTAAGCAAGCCCAGGGCTTCCTGATGGGCATCTTGTCATCACGCAGGAAGTGGAGACCATGACACCTGATTCAAGTCTCTGTGGAGAAGCTGTGAGGACAGTTTCACAGGGCAGGAAACTATGCTTTCTGGGAGAGTCGAGGATCAGATGTTGCCTGGTTTTCTCATCAGGCGTGGGTTTGTTGAGAACAGGCAATGCTGTACTGGAATGAACCGAGGGGCATACAGGCTGCCCTCAGAGGAAGCTTGGATCCACTCAGGAGTTCCGATTGTCTCGGTGATGACATGCCACATCTGTAATGCAAGTGCCACAGTTCCCGGGGAGGTGTCCTGCTACTCTGCACCATGCTTTCAGTACTGTACATGGTCAACTCACTGAAGCCCCCGGCACCTCCATGGAGCAGCTATCCCAATTATTCCCATTTATCCTTGGCGAAACTAAAGCAGGGAGAGGATGAATAATTTGTGGCTGAGCCAGGTGATGAACCCAGGTGACCTGGCTCCAGAATCTGCATTCTTGACCCTGGAGAGTTGAGAAAAGTATCAAGAATGAATCAAAAATCTACACAGCTATCCTCCAGCATAGTAAATTAAAGAATAAAATAAACATCTAGATGTCCTACTTTCATGGCTTCTACAAAGGGATCAGGCAACTACACTGAGAGTGGGCCCAAGGACTAGGCCATCACCAGGCAGGATGACCAGGTCAACTGAGTTTTCCTATGGATCCTTCCCTATCTCTTTGGACTGCTTGCAGTGGTCCTGAGTAGTCTTGAGGGAACACACTATGAAGAGGGAAGAGGTTGTATTCTAGTGACTCCTGAAGACCTTATGACCCTGAAACTTTCTGATGATGGTCCTGGACATTCTGTTGGAGTCAGAAAGAGCTCTGGGGAAGCAGACTGATGACCTGGCTCTCGTCCCTCTCTCTTCTTGTGGAAATCCAGCCTGGCATCCCACTCATGTCTTCAGCACACTGTCTGCCCCTCCCTCCTTGAGGTCCTGAGTCCTCTTGCCCATACTTTGTTGACAAGTCTGTCTCTTTCACTGACTGGACTGTAAGCATCCTGCAGGCAGGGCATGTGGTATACTGCAGCTACTCAACAAAAAGGAACTGACTACAGAAATACAGTAACTGACAAGGCTAGTTGAACATGGACTATCTCCTGCTTATACAGTGAAACCATGTGCGAGATTTTCAGAATAATGTTTTGTGGCAGTTAATCTTGATTGCCAACTTGTCTGACTTGAGGAAAGCCTAGTAAAGCCCACTTCTGGGTGTGTGGGGGGAGGGTCATGGAGGTGAAATCTTGGGGATTATGTCTCCTGGCCATTCCATCTCCAGTACTGCTCCTCTGCTCTGCCTCCTGGCTGCCCGGAAGAGAGCAGTTGTGGTCTACTATGCCCTTCTGCCAAGATGTTCTGGTCACCTCAAACCCACAGCCATGGAACCAGCCGACCACTGACTGAAATCTCTGAAACAGTGAAGCAATCAAACCATTTCCTCCTTTAAGGTGTGCACATCAGGCATTTTGATCTAACAGTGAGGAAACTGACCAAAACTTTTTCCACAACAGAAGTTCCTATGGTGTCAAGTATCAGATAATATAATATCCTCTGTAGGGCTGGCCAGATAGCTCAGTGGACTAAAGCACCTGCTTAGGCAGAGCGCAGCAGCTGGCTGGGGTTCAATCCCTGGCATGCTGCACTGGCCTTGCCCTCAGGGAACACTGAGATGGTGACTGAGACTGAGTGTGGTGGCACATGCCTGTATTCCCAGCACTTGGGAGGCTGAAAACAGAAGAATCACTATGAGTCCAATCTGTGTAGTGAGACCTGTAGACCCTGTACTAAATACATAAAAAAACCCTCTGTCTAGAAATTTCTGACTATAAATAGAAGTATCTGATAGATCTCTTTCTCTCCCTTTCTAGAGGCAACATTAATAATGATTTCAGGCGGCCAACCTTCATCCTTTTAGAACACTCAGATTCCTCTCAAACTGGTAAAATCTGAGTGGCATGTCAGTATGCAAGGAGGTCACAACACCACTGTAGAACCACTAGAATACACCATGCACCTGGGTACCTGAGAAAGAAGACAAATCTCCACCCTAACTCCTTCACCTAAAGGATCATTTTTTCCTCTCAGTATTTTTGAAACTCAAAAATTCCATTCAAAATTTAGTCAAATGCTGCTGTGAGTGCCCTCCTATGGGGCAGGAGCTTGAAGAGCCTTTGCTAGCCCTACCTATTACCTTAATTCTTTCTCTGCACATTTCCTTTTGTTCGGGTTGTGTGACACAAATGATTAGATTCTCATCTGCTTTAAAAAAAAGCCTTTGGCTTGTTTTGGTTTCAACTTGATGTTTTTAACTATTTGAAAAAATTTTTAAATTCTTTTGGCAATGTCAGAAGACTTATTTCCCTTCCTTGAAAGTATAGATTCTTTTGATAAATTGTGGTAAAATACACATAACACAAAATGGATCCTTTTCTCCAATTTTAAGATGATATTAAGGGGTCGGGGAGATAGCTCAGTAGAATAAGTGCTTGCCTGGCAAGTGCAAGTGCCTGAGTTCAATCCCTGGTTCAGCAAAAAATAAAAGAGAGATGAAATTAAGTACATTCTCACTCTCCATCTCCAGAATTTTTCAGGGGCCTGCCCATTAGCTCAGGAGTTTTAAGTGCCTGCTGAAACAAAGCAGCCAGGCTCAGGATGCTGTGGTTTGATCCCCTCATCCTCAAGCCAAACCAGACCTGCCCTGAAGACATCCTGAGCAGCACCCCCCCACCAAAAAAAAAATCCAGATTTTTTCATCCTCCCAAACTGAAACTTTGTCCTCATGAAACAGCAATAAATATACTGAAAGTATAACTCTTAACCTCTGCCTGGAAGGAGAGATTACTTTTTGCTACTTTTTGCTAGGAAAGGTACTGCAGGCTGGAGGTTTGGATACTTGTTGGTAGGGAAGGAAACTCCGGAAGGTGAGAAAGAAAGGCCATTGTGAAAAAGGACACTGTGATTTAGATCTATAGTGTCCCCCAAGAGCCTTGTGTATTCATTCAGAGGTGAGCTTTTGGCATGTGATTGGATCACGGGGCCAGAGCCAGATATGCTCTTAGGAAGTGGGGCCTGGTAGGAGGCAGGTCACTGAGGGTGAAGCCTGTGAGGCTACACCTTCCTTTGTGTCACCTCCCTGCTCACTCTTTCTGCTTCCTGGCTGCCATATTCCTCCATGGCAGCCCTTCCACCGTGCCCTTTCTACCTTGGCGCCAGCAGACCAGGAACTCGAAGTGTGAGCCAAAATGAACCTCTCCTCTTGTGAGGGCTGGGCACTGTGTGACAGTGATGACAATGTGACTGAGGCAGATGTGATTGTCAGGGGACTGCCCAGACGAGAAGGGGAGACGCTAGGGGTCAATCACAGTGTCAGGCCCATGGCTACTGCTGACCATATCTGGGGGAGGTCCTCTTCCATCCCCAAACCCTTGGTGTGTTTCAAGGGAAGAGAGGAGAGGCGGACGAGGCAACAGAGGGGACAGCTGAACCACAGCTGTTAGAGTTCCTGCTCAGAGAGGAAGATAAGGTGGGAAGGAAAGAAACAATCAGCTGACGATGGACTGCGAGAAACAGGAAATGGGGCAAGGGGAGGTGAGGGGAAGTCCCCATCATTCTTGTCCTTGGTGGGCACCAATGCTGGTGGGCTCGTGGGTGCACAGTGGAATTAGTCCAGCAGTGTTTAAATATGGTGAACTGAGCAGAAAACTTTTGATTGTTAATAGAACTTTTGGGCTCTGGGTAAGTAGATGAAGACAGCATTAAATAGCGGCGAGTATCAGCTTTTACCTGGCAGTGCCTTTGGAGTCTGAACTTCTATCACAGTTACGAAAGATCTGAAGGGTACAGAAACCAGAAGGCACCACGCTGCTAATGATAACAATAAACACAAGGAAGGAAGGTGGGGAAGCCAGACTGAATTATGGAAATGGCAAAACCTGATTTGTTCTGTTAAATTATGCTGTCAGGAGACAGCTTTGTTCACGTTTGTCACGAAGACTTCTACGGAAGAAACAAGAGAAAGCGTCACCGCTTCTCCCCTGGGGCACTGCACCCACCCACTTCCCTGGTGAAGGATGGATTTGTAAATATTGTGATTTTAAAAGTTGGCCCTGTGGCCAGCTGTGCTTACCATCAAAGCTGGGGGAACAGGATGGAAACCAGGGGAGTGGAGAGGGCCACAGGCCAGAAGCAGTGTTGGATTGATTTTCATATTGATCACTCTTGTGACTTATTTGGACTATTCTGACAGCATCATGCTCCAATGTAAAACATCATAAGGGTTTTTTTCTGCAAGAACCCAATGGAGTGGGTGAGAGGAATTCTAGATTGAAAAATGAATTATCCCCTGACTCCTGCACAAAAGATTAGAAGACAAGTAACTAGCGAGGACAGGGAGAGACCGCCTGTCATGTCCGCGACGAGGCACTCCAGTGTGCTGCAGTAAGACAAGCACTCAGGCAGGGGCGTGGCTGATGTTAGAAAATTTAAATTTTTCCAAAATTGTATCTTAATATCACAACCAGAACAAAGACATGGGAAACCACAGAAGACAAACGTAAGACCCTACTCCGTCTTCCCAATAGTGACAGCATCTTCTAGCCCAGGTGGGTTGGGCTGGATTCTCTGTGCCACCTAGGCCAACACATTTATCTGTCCCCAGTTTTCAGGGAGTTAAAAGATGGTGTGAAAGCACAACCCACCAGAAACCCCACAGATCCAAAGCGAAGCCTGAAATCTGCCGAGCTAGCTAGCTGTGTGCTGATGTCCTCTGGCAGGAAGCCTTCCCCGAGGCCACTGTGGAAAGACCTGATGCATCTAATGTAATCACTTCCCACAGTTGGATTAACAGAGCTGCGGACAGCTGAACGCGTCCTTCTAACTCTAAGAGAGGCAGAAGAATGGCGAGTGCTTGCAAGGGGCTGAGACGCTGAGCAAATGAAGTCAGCTCCTGGGCAGCCTCTTGCATCATTCCGAGTATCTACATTTCTAGTAGGAATGCCACATTTAATGCTGAAGGAAATAAAGGACGTTCAATTTTGATTGATGTCAAATCTTTCCAAAGTTCAGAAAATTTATGTGCAAAGGAAGGTGTGGGGCGAGAGACAAGACTGATGCTCCTAATTGGCCCAGGAGCACAGATCCTGCTGCATGCTGGTGATGCACAGAAGGTCTGACATGTCAACAGAGAACACGGTTACAGGACCAGTTCTTCTGGTAGCCTCCTTTTTGAAAACAAGCACTGTACAGCAGTCGTCAGGGCAGGTTTCTTAAGAGTGGCTTAATTATCTTTGGTCTTAGAATTCAAAAGCTACAATGAATTTCTTAAAGTATGTTAAAAGCTCCCCTTAACGAGTCCCTGCTTAGCTACCATTTTTCTTTGCCACTGTCTATTTTGGGGCTTTCTTTGGCCATGATTTGCCCTTCATAGCTAAGATGTTTTCATCATCTAAACATCTTTCCTTTAAAGAAAGGCGAAGCTGACTTTTAACCCCCTGGGTTCTATGGGTATAACAGTGATCTTGCCAAGTGTTCAAGTTCACTTCATCATGCTTTTTTGTTTTTGAGAAGTCTTACAGCTAAGGGCCTGCCGGGGCTGTGTGTGTGTGTGTGTGTGTGTGTGTGTGTGTGTGTGTGTGTGTGTCAGGGGGAGATAGTCACAGAGGGGCGTCAGGCCAGCCCCAGCAGTCCTGCTTAAAAACTGCCACCATCCCTTTCCTGGGGCCCTGCCAGCAGGGCGTGCTTAAAGCCCTGGTCCTCTGCTCTCTGCATCCTGGCTTCACAGGCGCAGGTCCTGTCCTGGGAACATCACTCCCTTCACTGGTCTAAAGCTGACCCCCTCCCCCAACCCCAGCAGAAGTGTCCTCCTAGGTGTCCTCTTGCCAGCAGGTGAGACTATAAGGGTTTCCACAGGCAAGGGGCATGTGTAGGGCTCACTAGGAGCCTCAGGCCCAGTGCGGCTCACAGAAGAGAGAACCTGCTTCATCCCTGTGCTGAGCTGAAGGCTGAGGGGAAGGAACAGAGGAGTGCCTGCCGCCATCAAGGCGGCCCACTCTGGATACCGTGGGGCGGGGGGGGGGCTGAACTGGGCTCAGTCCGAAGTGTTTGCACAAATACTCTTCAGAGGCCCTTTGAACTTCTGCAACACCCTTCTCTCAGAGGGATTCAATCCACATGGCCACAGCAGCTCTCCAAGGTAGGGGTAGAAAGGAACTATGCCCTTTTTAAAGATGGAAAAGTAGATTCTCTCCTCCCTACTCCCCAAGAGTGTGCAGGACTTGCTCAAGTCTTGGGCCTGGGAAGGCAGGCCTTGCTAGCCAGGCCTCTCCACAGCCAGGCCTAAGCCACTTTCTGCAGATGTGCTGCTATCTTCTAAAAGGCTATTTTTTTCCAGAATTAAAGCAGTCAAGATTACTGTCTCATGCATGTGTTTGATGGCAGAAGCCATGATAAAGCACAGCCACCATGCTGTACTCTGCTGGTGCAGGTAAGACACCAGCCTTGGGCTTCTCATTCGAGTCGTACACTGGCAGGAGGGGGTTGTGCAAATGGGTGGCAGGGCAATCTGTTCAGTTGTGAAGATCTGACAGAAACAGAAAGAGCTAATGAAGTTTAAGGAGTCAAGGTAAGGCAGAAGGGAGCACAGGAGCACAGCCAGGACCAGGGTATGCTTTACAGAGCATAAAACTCAGGGTCTGAAGGAGCTAACAAGCCCTCGTTATCCGATTCTGTCCAATGACTCATTCTTGGCCTTCTGGAGAGAAGAGGCAGGGGGCATACACTGGCCAACCCAGCAAGGAGCCAATTTATATCTGAGATTGAAGAAAAACTCTGCACTGTCCACCGCCCGGCCTGCAGTAATTTGCAGGTGTCCTGTTCACTGTCCAAGGAGCCTTGAGGTTACCAGAAAGGCCCGGGGTGCTCATTTATAAAGGTAAGGCAGCAACTTCTCTTCCTTTGCTTGATAACACACTGTGCTGAACCTTACCATCTCTGCCCACAGCCAGCACAGGGCCCGCAGCCAGCAGGGAAATCCTGTGAAGGCTGACACCTGTCCCCAGCCCTGTGGGCTGTCAGGGAGCACGGGCAGGGTGGTGCTGGAGGAAGCTCGGGGCAGCCTGGCCAGCCGCTAGCTCAGCACCAACAGCGGTGGTGCCCAGGTCAGAGTGCAGGGCCGCAGCCAGGCCCGCTGTGGACTTGTGAGGTGCTCTTCCCCAGGCTAAGCCAGGGAAGTGCTACAGCTGCTCAGACAGGAGCAGGGGCTTGGGCTGCTCAGCAGACGTGCCGTGCGCTCAGTGCTCTGCCAGGCAACTGGGCACAGGCCGGGCTGGTGGGGACAGCAGGCACCCACCGCGACCTGCTCAGCAGGTAGGCCCAGTAATAATAAACCACTACCCGCAGGCACTGGGGAAGAGAATGCTTAGCACTTTAACCAAAAGAAGTCCAAAACCCTGAGTTTGAAGGTCTGCGTTGTCGTCAGACAGCCACCGACACTGAAGCAAACACCCAGAGCTCTTGACTACTTCACCAATGTCCAACGTGCCAGGTTTAGAATAATCGAAAGAAATAAAGAAAAAGAGGTTGGCCCTAGGTCTTCCCGGCCTATAAAATAGGCATGAGTCCACTGCTAGGCTGTTCCCAGAGCTCTGTGGAGGTTCAAACTGTACAAACGGTACAATGAAATACTCATGCTAATATATCTATTTCTTGTCTTGTTTGCTTCAGTATAAAACTTGATTTTGTTTTACTTTGTTTTAAAAAAAAAAAACACTGCCAGGTCAAATGTCGTCTCATTAAAAATAATTCCAAGTTTTTATAATATTTTGGATGGTATGCTGGAAAGAAATGAATTTTCTGTCCAAATATTTCAAATTTATATTTCACTGCAGCAAAAAAAAAAAAAAAAAAAAAAGGATTACAAATGTCTTTTCAAGGCAACTGCACTGTCTTGTAAACAAAGGTAGATTTTTAAAATAACTTAGGAAGCTAAGTATTAAAAAGGAGAGAATCATTGAAGGAGAACGTGTCTTACCTTGAGAAGTTGAGGAAATGAACATGTCGAGTGAATAAATAGGGCTGCTCAGCAGTACTTATATTTTTTATCAGTTCCATCTGTTAAAAAAAAAGCACAAAATTAGCACAGATCGGCTCTCATTTATCAAGCCATATGAAGCCAAGAGGTCACCTGCCCAGCCACCTTCACCCTCACTTCTGGACCCAGACCCAACAGCTGGTTTTATGCAATATTGACGAACTTCCACATAAGATTCCTTAGCGAATTAAAAGAGCACCTTCCGAATTTACAGCTCTGCATCTAATTTAGTTGACTGCTACCAGAAAACAAAGTGGCAGATTAAGTAATTTTAGCAGAAGAAATGAACCTGGTGCTGTACTGAAGTGCAAGTCAAAGAAAGCTTTTTAACTCACACCTCGTGAAGACATCAACCATTACCTGGTACATCTGTGACACTCTGAGGGTTTATAGAAATACTTGAAATTAGAGCTATGAAATTTGAATGTGAGGATGAAACAAGGCATTCCTGTTATTTTTGTATTAGATTATCAAAAATTTATAAGGGAAATGTTTCATGGGAAACACACCAACAGCCAAACATTTTGGTTTTTTGGTGGGTGGTCATCTGAATTATTTATTTACAGTTATCAGCAAGGCAAAAAGTAGTTTATATTCCTATAAACTAACTTTTATGGGCTTCTGGAACATGTCATGATACAGAAAATGTTTAGTAAAATCTTAGAAATTCCAAGCATTCTCAAGACTCTGGGACTTCCTGAATTGCACTTTCTCCAGAATTTTTAATTGGCCCCATCAAAATGGACATGGGCATTTTTAAAAGCACATTGAAGATTACTATTTCCAACATCAGATGTGTAGTATTTCTTATTTTATGAACTAGTTAAAGCTGAAAACTGGGAACAAAAGTGGTCATTCACATTCAAGCACAATAACAATGACAACAATAAATTAAGGAATCTGGACCTCCAGGTTGGTCTCAAACAGGACAGGACCCCTGGGACATCTTGTCTCTACATGTCTGGCTCAGGGGCTGACACATACATGTGCACTTGACAAATATTTGTTCTGTGAACTAGTTCTGACTAGGGCGTGCTTTATAGATTGGTACCCAGGAGTTCACTGCCCAAACGGTCTCATTAGGTATTCACGGTGGTTGTGATTATTTGAAGAAATGAAGTTGCGTCTTATAAGCAAATGATTTGCAGTTCCTGTGTTTCCTTCGTCAAGGGCAGACAAGGGGTGAATGATGGCTTGTCCTTCGCTGATCATGACACAAAAGGAAACTGAATGCAGCTCCTTCATCACTCTCTGCATGCCGGTGCCCTATGGTTGTTTCCTGTAGTAAAGCTTCTGGCTTAGGCACATTGTTAATTTTGAGTTTTGATGGCTTGGCCAATAAAATTACTTATGGGGAGCATACACATGATTAATTTATCTCTTGACATGCTTGCTTAGAAAAATAACTCTTGTCCATGTGAATGTTTACAATAAAAACCATTTATCCTTTCTTCTAAATTATTCTTACTTAGATATTTTCCTGAACACAGAAGAGTTATGTAAGAAAATGCCCTAGTACTGCAAAAGAAAAGTAGAACAGGTGAGAAGAAACACTGTTCCTTTCACCTCTTCAGCATGACATTATACTCTCTAAATACACATCAGTGTGTTAAAATTAATGTAAGAACAGTAAAGGTTAGATTGTTGAGAACAGTGTCATACTAGTCATAGAGCTGTCTGTTTCACAAGGAGAATGGATCAGCAGTGACAACGTAGAACCCACTCTAGGTGTTTCCTTGAGTACACGGTAAAGGTGCTAATGCTCGTGTTGATTGAATTGATACAGTGAGGGCAGGCACATTTCCTTTTCATGCACTTTGTTGCTGTGCACCAAACAATAAAACCAGTTATTATAGACCAACAAGCTCGCATGAAAGTCTCATGTTCAAGGTATCACTTGACCTTAACAAATGCGGGGACTTGACCCACTATTAGAAAAGACAGTGGTCTTCTGAGCTCATGCTGCCTACCCCTGAGGGTCCCCTACCTGGTCCTCCTCAAAAAGACCTCAAAAGGCTGCCTTTCCTCTCATCTTGGTCTCATTTTGGTCTTATTTGCATGGATGGCATCATGACAGCCATGACACTACCTAACATCTCAAGAGCCCACCTCTCCTATTCCTGGCTCATGCAAATCACCCCTGCCTTCTATTGTAATTCTGCTGCAAATATTCATCCATCATTCAGGGGATATCTATTAAGCATTGTAGATAAACATATGGATAAGATTGGTGGAAGCAGGTAGTGGACTATATCGCAGTGGTCTCCCAAATCTGCTATGGCCAAACCCACACCTGATCCTCTTTATTCTGTATACAGCCCAATCCATCCCATGACAACTGGATTCTAGTTAATGGCATCCTCCTTATCCCAACTTGGATCTGGGTCTTTCCTGGATGCCTACGTTCAATCCTTTGCTGAGTCACGTTAATTCTACCTGTGGTGTCTCCTTCAACTGGCAGAGATGATACCCCTGCTATGGTCAGACAAACTTGACTCCTCATCGCTCCCTTACTCCAAAGCCCAAATAAGTTCAACTTCAGGCTCAAGCTTCCTCTTCTGGAATATTCTTCTGTTTGTCTCTGCCTGTCTGAATCCTGATGTGGCCAAAATGTCTCACTTTCTCAAGTAGCTTTCCTGTTTCTCTCCTTTCATTTGAGGTCCATTGATTTCCCACTCTGAATCAGGCACTGTGTTGCTTGTGGTTACAGCTATGGAGAAAGATTGGATTTGACTCTCCATTTCAGGAAGTAGAGTTTTGTGTATGAGATAGATGTAGGCAGGCGCATAGATAACACCCTGGCAGAGAAAGCATCCGGGTAAGGCATCTGTCCTGCTGTTAAAGAGTGAAAGCCTCTTCACCGTGCTGGTCTAAGTGGTGCAGAAAGACTGGCCAGAGTCAGCAGGTAAAGAGAGGGGTTTGCGCCCCGCAGATGGAGTGAGCAGTAGTGGTAAAGACAACACATTACATGGCATGGGCATTAAGTTCAGCAATTCCATGTGCCAGGGGTTGGGTACGGGGTCAGCAGAACAGTGGATGAGAGTCAGAAAGGAGCTGAGTAACTGAGCTTACTGTAAGCTATGTAAGAAATTTTGACATTTATTCTGTGAGGGCCCAAAAAAGATTTATGTATTTTTTCCAGATGTGAGAACAGGGTGGAGGATATGAAAAAGAAGGATGAAGTTCAGGGGCAGGCGGTGAAGTGTAGCTTAGTGGTAAAGCACTTGCCCGGTATAGGTGAGGCCCTGGGTTTCAACCCCAATGTAAAAAGTTGAGAGACAGAGGTTTAGTTAGGAAGATAGCACTGCAGCATCACTGGGAACCTGTTAGCAGTGCAAATCTCCAGGCTCCAGCTCTAGGTACTGAATTACCAGGAGGACCGTCCCTCCCACAAGAGTTGTTACAAGCCTGTGTGAGGTGCTAGGGAACCCAGGTGTGAGACCCACAGAACTCAGCTGGTCAGTCAGTGAAGGAGGATGGAAGAGCTTAGCGAAGGAAAGGGGTTGAAAAACTGAGCCTGGTGACCACCAGGTTAGAAGGCAGGGTGAGGGTGTGGGCCAGAGAGTGCCCTTCCCAGAGCCCCAGCTAGGAGAACAAGCGTGTGCTGGTATCCACTGTCAGGATGAGAATGCTGGAGGAGGAAACTAGTGAGCTGCAGAAGTTGGGGGTGATATGGGTTTGCTTTTGAACATCTCTTGCTAGGAACAGTGCAGCCTTCTCAACTTTCCAAAGCACACGGTCTGAGGTTTGAGAACCGGGACCCTCTGTATCTTCCTGGAGCTGAGTGTGATGTTGACCTAGAACACAAGTTCTCTGAAGGCTGAGGCCAGGCTTCCTTCCCCTCTAGAAGCCTGGCCCAGGCACATGCACAGAATGTGTGCAATGAATGTTTATGGGTGAAGAGCCCTTCTTTAGAACTACTTTGGTGGAGTCAAGAAATGTACAGTCACCAACAGACAGAATTACCCATCACTCAGGCAAAGAATTCAGCTTCTTGGATAACAAAGGACACTCCTCATTCTCTTGGAGCCCCATGGAGCTCACATCATTACAAATTCTAGCACACAATACCACCAAAGCAGAGCCCCAAATTCTGAATGCCTCCTTTGGCCACACATTGGATGTGCAAGCCCTTCGTACACCTCAGCAAGGCTCCACGAGATAAGTGCTATCATCCTGAGGCACAGGAAGGCCAGGCAACTTTCTCCCAATCTCACTAGCATAGGAAAGGTGGGGACAGGATTCAAACCTGTCTGTCAGATCCCCAACCCCTGCTCTTCACCATGGGGCTGTACCCAGCCCACTGTTTCCACTGTCACTTGATTTGTTCATAATCTTTTAAAATGCAAGGAAGGGGTCAGCTTGCACAAAAACTGGAGAATCAAGAAAGTTGACGAGATATAAATTTTATCACTTCATAATTCATGCTGGCAAATAGCCCTTTTTAGTACAGGGTCTACAGGGTCTCACTATATAGATCGGACTCCTAGTGGCATAGTGATCCTCCTGTGTTCAGCCTCCCAAGTGCTGGGATTACAGGGGTATGCCACCAAGCCCAGTCTCAGTGCACCCCAGGGGTGGGGCCGGTGCAGCGTGCTGGGGATCACATCCTGGTCGCTGAGCCTGCCTAAGCAGGTGCTTCAGTCCCATGCTGGCAAACTGAAAGAAGGAAAGATTTAAGAAATGTAAATCAGATAGAATAGTTTCTAAAAGTTCTAGAGTGGGAAAACAGCATATCATCACAAGAATGAACACTTTAAAAAATAAATGTGTAACAGCATTTATCTAACAGAAGTTAAATTACAGTGTCCTTGAGGTTGATGTAAAATTGAAGTTAGGAAGTAAAGAAAAAGGCAAGAATCAAACAGGTCTACAGTGCATAGGATGTGCCCCAGGAGCAGTGCCTATTCATTGGGACTTTACAGCAGGAAACCTCTGCCTGCAGTTCTGCAGGAAGAACTAAAGATGCTGCTCTTGACTTCAGTGAAGAAACGCTGGTCAATAGTAAGGGAGCCTGACC